GTGTGTTAATTTTGTATCCTGCAACTGCTGAATTCTGATATTTCGATATAGTTCAAGAGGATTATTTTAAGTATCAATGCAGGAGATTTTTATATGATGGTAAATACTTGAATTAGGTTAGTGGGCTACATTAGACCATAAAATGCAGAGGCTACAGCTTCTGCCGCAAGCTCAATGCCTAGTACATAATAGGCAGCGACCTGGGTGAATGAGCAAATATGAGATTTGTACAGGTACAAAAAATAAAGTTTAGAAAACATTGTTGATGTGTTTCCAGATACTTGGCTCTCCCTACATAAAATGATTCTTAAGTTTGAGAGTATAATATTAGCATTATGGAAATAGATTATGAGTTCATGCAAACTAAGAAATAATTGTTGTTATGCTGCATTTTGAAATCAGTAACAGGCCTAATTAGGATAATGATGTATTGGCATTTAATAGCACATCTAGGTCAAGTTTTTGATGTCAGAAACTGTCTAGCCCAAATGAGTTATATTTTAGTATCACATGAAGTCCACTGTGCCTGGTGGTATGCAAGTCTGGATGGAGGTAAAGTTGGAGGATATGAAGCCTCTGGGTTTCTGCAGGGACAGAGACTTGCTGCTAGTCTCAGTGGCAAAATGAACATTTAGAAGCTAACTTGAAGGAATATTTTTGGCTGACATTTATTCTCAAAACAGAGTTTGAAACGGCTGAGACACTTCTCAACTCAGAGGTTCACATGCTTCTTGAGCACCGGAAGCAGCAGAATGAGAGCGCGGAGGATGAACAGGAACTTTCCGAGGTCTTCATGAAAACTTTAAACTACACGGCCCGTTTCAGTCGCTTCAAAAACAGAGAGACTATTGCCAGTGTCCGTAGGTAGGTGCTAAAAGAACACTTTTATTAATGCAGATTGTTGGACATCTACATGTAGGATCCTGGTGCCTCTTCCCCACCCTATGAGCATCATCTGTAGGATTAATGTCAGTAAAATAATGTCTATTGAAATGGTAAAAATTGCTTATGAGGCCAGAATCTTCTTTGGCCACCTTTTTCTGGACCCCAATCCCAATTACCTCCAAACAAAGTTAACTCCTGGTGGTTTGTTAGCCTTCCAGATCTTTTCCATACATTCTACATGTATATGTCCACCCACAGAAAACACATAGCATTGTTTTGTATGGTTTTTTTAAGGTGGGAATATTTATTCACCTGAAATGTCTTAGAGATCTTAATATGTTAGTGAATATAAATAAGGAGCATTCTTTCAGGATTTTTGCTTTACCTTTCAGAAGGGGACTGGCTTTTGGCATTTTTTCCTAAGACATTGCTTCTCAGATTGGGTTGGAGGTACCCTGGAAATAGTGATGTGCTGGTATACGAGGCCACAGGGAAAACAGCACATCCTCCTCAGGTATCAGTGCTATTTAATGGTAGGTGATCCAGAATATTTATACATTAATGCAAACAAATAGCCAGCATATTGTAGAGTAAAACAAGATGTATGTCGGTTCTCCAATGAAATCATTGGACTTTAAAGCTTGCAGTGCAGGAAGTTCTTGGAGACTATGCCCCAGGTCACCTCTGGGTACCTGCTCTGTTATGGGTACTTTACTCTGGTGAAGATGTTTGAGAAGTACTGTCCTTAGGAAAAGCAAATGGACAGAGATTTATAAGCTGAAGGTTAAAAAATAATAATTCAGTGGTAATTAAATTGTAGTAAATCCATTTGATGGCTACTGTGTTGTCATTAAAAATTGTGGTAGAAAATGAAATTGAAAGATGTTCACTCATTTTAAATGTGCAGAAAATGAAGATGATAAAACTGTGTATAAGGCATAATCTGTTCTGAAGTGAAAAGATTGGAAGGAAATATGCAGAGAGCTCCCTTTTTGGGACTCAAAGGTTACTTGAAAAAATGAAATCGGGCTTTCACATTTATAAAGAAAAGGTCTTAATATTATAAACATGTCAGTTCTCCCCCAGGTTAAGGTATATGTTTAGTGCCATTATAAATCCTCAAGAGGAGAGGGAGTTGGGGGTACACTTAATCAAATAATCTTAAATTTATAAGAATTGTCAGGAAATGTTTTTAAGAAGAGCAATGAAGGAGACTTCGCCCTACAAGATGTTAAAATACACTTAAAAGAGATGCTAATTTAAATGGGGACACTTTGGAATGAGAACAGATCATTGAAACAGAATAGGAAATTCAGGAACTGATTCAAGTACACGTCTATTATATTTTATGAGTCTAGTATATGGTAAAGGTGGCACTGTAAGTGGGAAAATATTTTAAAACAAAGTTTGAATGCTATACCTCATACCAAAATTAATTCATAAGAAATTAAAAGATTTAAATGTAAACTATGATGCATGAAAGTGAAATGTGGTAGCAGGAGTAAATGTGTATATCATCTTGACTGTAGCAGGCCTTTGAATGCAATGCGATTTGGAGGACGCCAGCCGACTCTGCCGGGCAACGGTCATGCTCATCACTGTGTCAGGCTCCGTGTAGGCTCTGAATAAATACTAGTTGAAAAAGCAAATGAATTGGCATAAATATCTTTAAGCTTTCCTCTGTCAAACAAAATGTCATATGTAAAATGAAGTATGAATAAATTGGGAAAGGATTGATATCCTTAATATTAAAAACTCTAAAAATAATGAAGAAAGATGACACCCAGTTTACGAAAAGGGACATAGTCCCTAACAGCTCAGTTTAGATCCGAACTTCAAATGTATGGCTAATTCACATGAAATAATGCTATTCTTCAAGGAAACCAAAGAAATGGTAAAATAGCTAAGTAAGATTAAAAATAATGAAAACCTGGTGTAACAAGTTGGGAGACAAGAAATTAAATTTATTGCTGGTGGCAGTGTATATTGGACAAGCCCTAATTTTCGGGCACTGTCTCTCTCAAAAGCTTTCAAGACAGACATATCTTTTGACTGAGTCAATCTGCTTCCAGGAATTTATTTTTTAAACATAGGTATCCAGCAAGTACACAAACAAATGTACATGAAGCTGCTGAAGTGTCCACTAGCAGGGAACCAATGTGTAAATGCAGGCACAGCCCTTGGTGGGATCTGTGTTCCTGGTCGAGTTACTGGAAACAGTTACTGCCTCGTGGAGTGAGGAAAAGCACATCGCAGGACAACAGTTATATTCTTTCTGTTTTAAAAAACTATACAAAGAGGAAGGGAAGGGGATCTCCATGAAAATGATAACATTGGTTATTTTGGGATAGAATTTCAAGTTACTTTCACCTTTCTGGTATTTTTGTTTTTTGCACTGTTTATAAATGAGCCTCTGTTCCTTTTACACGGAATCTGTCCAGATATATATGTTACATTGTGACTTTTTCCCCTTGTAACTAAGTTGTTTCTTTACAAAGTGGAAATAGCTTTATTAAGTGACAAAAAGTTACAAAACAATATGTAAGTCCATATTCTAAAACAGAAAAATACTTGGATTGGCGTACTAAGAGGGTAACTATAATTTTTTTTTAGATAGTGATAAGGGTAGCTTTTATCTTTGTCTTTTTGTATTTTCTAAATTTTGTATAACTAATATACTTATAGTAAAGTGGTGAATATAGTAAATGTTTTGTTTCTGTACAGATAAAGTCTTCCTGAAACCAAATTTACCATTGGACAAGCTCTATTTTAAGAGATAGATGTGGGAAAAGCGAAGGTATGACTTGTGTTGACTGTGTTCTGTCATACAGTCTGAATGAGCATTATATTCAAAATGAGATGCAGTTTACAAATATATTTGTATGAAGTGTTTTTTATTTTTTATCTTTAGTTAAGATAAATTTAAAAGAGAATTTCCTCCAAGTCAAAGTTCTTAATAGTTTGGCACATCTAACAATCTTAGCAGAGAGAGACAAAATTAATTCCTGGGGGAAGGTGGTAAGTCCTTGAGGAATGTAGTGATTTTTCAGAAGGTACGAAGCCAAGCTGCTCTGCCTGTTGTGCTTGCCTTGCTGTTGTCGCCTCTGCCTCATTTCACCGTGGCTTCCTGTTCTCTGAGCCTAGGAATGGGCAGCGATTTGAATCTGGGATTTGCAGCCAACCTAGCCACAATGAAAAGACTGCAAGTGCATAATGTTTTTTCTTCCTTGACAGCTACATTTGATCCTCTTTTCCTACTTATCATTCTTTGATTTTTGTTTTTGTTTTCTTTTTTATTTTCTTCCCTGTGATCAGCTTGTTGCTCCAGAAGAAGCTTCATAAATTTGAGTTGGCCTGTTTGGCCAACCTTTGCCCAGAGACTGCAGAGGAGTCCAAGGCTCTGATCCCAAGGTGAGTACCAGTTACCAGTTGTGATGAGTTCTGTGTGTATTGGATAAATTCCTCCAAGCAAAGTTAGTGTCTGAAGGGAGTGTGCCTGTAGAATCTGGACAGACAGCACCAACACTGAATGAAGTGCCTGTTTTCACAGAGTATGAGAATGATTGTTTTATAGCATGTCACCTGTTAGCAAAAACATGGAACAGCTGAATGTCTCATGCACTGATGGCAGGAGTGCAAAAGAGTAGTCACGGAGAGCAGTTTGGCTACATCTTGTAAAGTTAAAGATGAGTATATCCTTTGAAAATTCATGCAACATCATACACAGCATCAACAAAAAGGGGCAAAAATCACATGATCATCTCAACAGATGCTGAAAAAGCATTTGAAAAAATTCAATATCCATTCATGATAAAAACTCTCAACAAAATGTGTAGAGGGCAAGTACCTCAATATAATAAAGGCCATATATGACAAACCCACAACCAAGATCATACTTAACAGCAAAAAGCTGAAAGCTTTTCCTCTAAAGTCCGGAACAAGACAAGGATGCCCACTCTCCCCACTTTTATTCAACATAGCACTGGAGGTCCTAGCCACAGCAGTTAAGACAACACAAATAAAAGGCATCTGAATTGGCAAGGAAGAAGTTAAACTGTCACTTGTTTGCAGGTAACATGATATTGTACATAAAAAACCCTAAATAATCCATCCCAAACTACTAGAACTAATAATTCAGCAAGGTTGCAGGATAAAACAGAATCTGTTGCATTCCTATATATTAATGATGATCTAGCAGAAAGAGAAATCATGAAAACAATTCCATTTCCAATTGCATCAAAAAGAATAAAATACCTAGGAATAAACATAACCAAAGAGGTGAAAGATCTACCCTGAAAACTAATGACACTCTTAAGAGAAATTAAAGAACACACCAATAAATGGAAATACATCCCATGCTCTTGGGTAGGAAGAATTAATATTGTCAAAATGGCCATCCCGCCTAAAGGAATCTACAGATTCAGTGCAGCCCCTATCAAAATACTGACAGCATTCTTCAACAAACTACAAACAAATAGTTCTAAAATTCATATGGAACCACAAAAGACCCCGAATAGCCAGAATAATCCTTAGAAAGAAGAATAAAGAGGGGGGGGTATACTCCCCAACTTCAAGCTCTACTACAAAGCCACAGTAATCAAGACAATTTGGTACTGGCACAAGAACAGACCCATAGACCAGTGGAAAAGAATAGAGAGTCCAGATATTAACCCAAGCATATATGGTCAATTAATAAGTGATAAAGGAGCCATGGATATACAATGGGGGAATGACAGCCTCTTCAGCAACTGGTGTTGGCAAAACTGGACAGCTAAGTGTAAGAAAATGAAACTGAATTATTGTCTTAACTCCATACATAAAAGTAAATTCAAAATGGATCAAAGACCTGAATATAAGTCATGAAACCATAAAACTCTTTAGAAGAAAACATAGGCAAAGCTATCTTAAATATAAACTGAAGCAACATTTTCCTGAACATATCTCCTCGGGCAAGGGAAACAAAAGCAAAAATGAACAAGTGGGACTACATCAAACTAAAAAGCTTCAGCAAAGGACACCATCAGTAGAACAAAAAGGCATCCTGCAGTATGGGAGACTTTATCTGTAAATGACATATCCGATAAGGGGTTAACATCTAATATATGTAAAGAACTCTTGCCTCAATACCCAAAAAGCAAATAACCCAATTAAAAAATAAGTGGAGGATCTGAAGAGACACTTCTCCTAAGAAGAAATTCAAATGGCCAACAGGCACATGAAAAGATGCTCCAAGTCACTACTTATCAGGGAAATGCAAATTAAAACCACAATGAGATATCACCTCACAACAGTTAGGATGGCCAACATTGAAGAGACCAGGAACAACAAATGCTGGCAAGGATGTAGAGAAAGGGGAACCCTCCTATACTGCTGGTGGGAATGTAAACTAGTTCAGCCACTGTGGAAAAGCAATATGGAGGTTCCTCAAAAAACTAAAAATAGAAATACCATTTGACCCAGGAGTTCCACTCCTAGGAATTTACCCTAAGAATACAAGAACCCAGTTTGAAAAAGACATATGTACCCCTATGTTTATTGCAGCACTATTTACAATAGCTAAGATATGGAAACAACCTACGTGTCCATCAGTAGATGAAGGGATAAAAAAGATGTGGCACATATACACACTGGAATGCTATTCAGCCATAAGAAGAAACTAAATCCTACCATTTGCAGCAACATGGATGGATCTGGAGGATATTATGCTCAGTGAAATAAGCCAGGAAGAGAAAGACAAGTACCAAGTGATTTCACTCATATGTGGAGTATAAGAATAAAGACAAACTGAAGGAACAAAACAGCAGCAGAATCACAGAACCCAAGAATGGACTAACAGTTACCACAGGGAAAGGGACTGGGGAGGATGGGTGGGTAGGGAGGGATGGGGGGCGGAAAGGAGCATTATGATTAACACACGTGATGTGGGGGGTCTGGGGCACGGAGAAGGCAGTATAGCACAGAGAAGACAAGTAGTGATTCTATAGCATCTTACTATGCTGATGGACAGTGACTGTAATGGAATGTGTTGTGGGGACTTGATAATGGGGGGACTCTAGTAACCATGTTGCTCATGTAATTGTACATTAATGATACAAAAATTTAAAAAGGATTGTATATCAATGATAACTTAAAAAAAAAAGTATATCCTATTACCCAAAAATGCACTCCTGGGTCTGTGCCCTGAAAGCAGCTCATGGAGATCTACGAGGAGACACGCGTCCCAGTTTTCAGTGCTGTTTGTTCAATGACAGCAGACACTTGACAGCAGTCTGTCAATCAACTAGAGGATGGATAAAGAAATCATTGTATGATCATGCAGTGTTTATCACAGAGCAGTGAGAAGATTTATGAGTTGGAATAACAAGACATAATATCAGCAAATGCTGAAGCAGATTTTGAGTGGAAAAGTTGTAGGATCCATACGACACCATTTCTTAAAAAGTTTAAAACTTTACCTTGCTTTCAAATGCATTTACATTTGAAAGTGTTAACAATATGTATAGGAATTATAAATACCGAGTTTAGGGTAATGGAAACCTCTGGTGATGGATGGGAGGGTATTGGGATAGGAGAGCATTACAGAAAGCTATCTGTTTTTCTTGTTATGTTTGTTAAACTTCAAGTAGGAATGACTATTAAGGTTACCTTATTTCTATACCTTTTATATGTTTGAACTACTTCATGAGTTTTTAAAAGGAAGGGCAGGAAGGAAACATGGTTGAAAAATACAGGGTTAAATGGGAAAGTGGGCAAGTGGTGCTCGGGATGAACGTGCATTATGAAGAGTCTGGGGAGCATTGTCTGTCGCCGACATACTCATTTCCTTTGGTTTTCGCCTCTAGCCTGGAGGGGCGTTTTGAAGATGAGGAGCTCCAGCAGATCCTTGATGATATCCAGACCAAGCGCAGCTTTCAGTACTAACCTGCAGGCACCCCTGCTGCCGAGGGCGCCACGCCCCGTTCCCCTGCAGGAGCCACCTGGGCTTCCTTTGGGTGGAACAGCCCTGCTCGCTCCTGCCTTGGGTTGCTGTTTCAAACTTGACTGTTGGACTGTGACCATGTCATCTTTGAGAGGCCCTGTGGTGGCTGCCTGTTGGGAATGGGGGAGGTGCGGTGCATAGACGCTACGCTGCTGACTACCTCATCCCTTTGTTGTTTTTGATTCCTAATACTTCATGTTTCCATTTCAGTATGTTTATGGTTTTTGAAACAATACTAGAACATACAAAGCTGGTATAAGAAACAAAAGTCTTATCTAGTGCAAAAAGAATTAAATCGACCAGTATCATTGTTTGAAATTCTTAAAGAAAGAATGACCATTTGAGAGCCTTGGCGTCATTGTGCTTAACCCAGAAACAGGGCAGAAGCACGCTGTGGAGGGCAACCCCGTTCCAGAGAGGGTAAGTAGGCCAAGTATTGTGAGGCCATAACCTTGGAAAGGACGGGCATGGTGGGCTTTTTCTTTTTCTTATGTGTTGCCGAATGTAGATTGGGAGTGAGTGGTCCTCGAGAACTGTCCTCTCACTCTCAAATAAAGGTATTTCCTTCATGGGCCAGACCTGAAGCTCTGAGCGCTTTGAAGACTCTTATGGGTCGTCCCTTGCTAAGTAGCAGTTCTCTGCCTTGCTGCTGAGCTACAGGTGCCCTGTGGTCGGGCACCACAGGGAGGAAGGGAGCTTGCCCCTTCCTTGAGCCACTACTGTGAACTCACTTGATCTAAGGCTTGTTGGGGGAAACGTTAATGGTTTAACTTTCTACTTTGATTTTTCTGAAGGGAAACTTTTCTGTTTTCTTTACAATTTGAGGTTTTTTCCTTTGGAACATTTGTTGGTTCCAAATAAATTGGTGATCCAAGGAACAGGTCGGAGGAATAATAAAGTTGGCTTTAAAAGTCAACATAGTTTTATATCAGCTGCTGGCTAATACAAAAATAAAATACTGTTATTTTCATCAATTTTTTAAACTTCTGAAATGAAATTTTGATTATTATTTGAAGGAAATAATCTTTTCATCCTTGGACACCTTCACATCTTTGAGATTTATCTGTGTTCTCAGTTGTGAAATGTGGATAATAATGGCATGTATATTCCATAGATACTTTAAGATTGAGAAAATTATTTAAAAGAGCCTATTGGTGTCTGACATTATGCCCCATAAGTGTTAGCTGTTATTAGTAGCTCAGTCAGATGCCATGATAAATCAGTTTGTTTCATAGAAAATCTTTCAAGAGTTTGGTGGCATACCAATCAGTACTGGTAGCAGGCTGTGAGGACCCAGTTGCTTACTCTTTAAGTCTGCACAATTACTTCTGAAGAGAGGCAGTTACGTGTGCAGGTTGGCACCAGGCGGTGGAACAGCAAGAACAAACGTGGACGACAGGCCTGAGTTACAGTTTAGGTGCCTGTGCCATGTGGGCCACCGTCCTCCCTGGTGATTCCTCCTGTGGACCAGGAGTCTGAGCTGAGAGCATTTGAGTACGTGAAGTGCCTGACATGTAGCTAAGCACTCATACATGACAGGAAGATGGTTAGAAGCAGATTTCAAAACAACTCATACCAGGGAATTACTGTGGAAGCAATTTTGTGCTGTATTACAGATTCAAAGCCTGGACATTCAGTTTCTGGACATTGTTCTTTACGGTTCTGGACAGCATCATACTGTTGAGAGTGGTCATCAGGAGACCCTGCAAAGTCCTTGATCATCTGTGAAAAATTGTTAGGCTCCCAGAATGTGCAAAAGCAGAATTTGGGGACGCATTGAAACAAAAAGATGTCATGTTGTCAAACCATCACTTAGCAAAAGACTAAAGTAACCAGTTGAAACTTTTCTGAAAACTAGTCAGTCTGGTTTTAATAAAATATTAAACTTGAGGCTTGGAAATCAGCATTACTGCATGGGGCCTGAGCACAAGCTGTTCTTTAAAATTAGTGTTGTAAGCGTACTTACAAAAGCATTAAAGCCTACATTAAAGACTTATATGTGAATAATCATTGCAGCATTATTAACAATAGCCCCAAACTGGAAACAATCTGAATGCCCACCAGCTGGGGAATGGATAAACAAAATGTGGTTCTGTGTGTACAGTGGGATGATGTCTGACGATGAAAAGGAGCAGAGCTCTAAAGAAAGCAAACCCAGGAAGCCCATGGCATGTGCCAGTGGTGTGCCAGGTATTTTCAGCTTTTTATTTTAAACATACAAAAAAGCTGAAAGACTAGTACCTTGATCACCAATATGTTTATCATCTAAATTTAACATTTACATTTGTAAAATTTCCTTTCCTCTATTAGAATTTTGCTAGGAAGCGTTTTAAGGAATGCTTCATTGAAAAAAGCATGCATTTTTTTAAATGTACTTTCCTTACTAAGCACTATTGCACTTAGAAACATTGACAAGAATTTCTTGGTATTTAGTATTTAGTTTGTACTCACATTTCCCCAGGGGAGACTGGGCCAGAGATCAGTCCTTGTGTTGGTATAATTTTTAGTATTACACAAATTATCATTAAGGATCTAAACTGACCCTTGTGAAAAATACTAAAGAAATACATGTGGCTATTCTCCTCGTGTTACTGTAAGGAGCTCTGTCTGGATGAAAATACTACATGAAACTCCTAGATGAAGAGTGGACCTTGACAGACTGCCGGGGCTACATAGCATTTGATCACTAATGTGTCTGCATGCGATTGTCCATCTCAGCAGAAGCAGAAGGGCAGTTTGGGACTCATTTGGCAGAATGGGTGCGTGGTGACAGCAGGGTGATTGTAGTTTTGCCGTATACACCCCCAAACCTGGAATACTGTTCAGACTTGAGTTGTGTGTGATTATTTCCCTGGGCACAGCACTTAGTAGATACTTAGTATGTTGAGTGAGCCCTCAATTTGAGAAGTAAATGTGGAACTGTGGGAAGAAGTCATGAAATTGGAGGAGAGGGCTCCATGAGATAGGAAGGTGGTGGAGAAACAGCCCATTAGACACTGGAGATGTTTGAATGACAAGGCAAAGGTGTTCAACAGAACTTCCTGCAGCATACAAATATTCTGCATCCACACAGTCCATGGTGGTAGTAGCTGCTATGCGTGGCACTCACTCTTGGGACTGAGGAACTGAATTTTAAATTTGATTTAATTTTTATTTAATAATTTAAATAGTCACATGTGGCTGGTGGCTACTGTATGGGAGAGCACAGCTCTCAGTTCCTGACTAATGTCCCACAGGCCATTGAAATCAGGATTTCAGTCAAATCAACAATGCTCACAAGAGCAGCAGTAACAAAAGTACCACTCATCGAAACTTGGCCTTCAAATTTCTGAGGTCTGAATATGTCTATCACTCTACGTTGCTGAGTTCAGTTTTTCTGTATAATACGAGTTCAGTTTTAAAAATCTGCCTATTACTGATGCTCATAGACAAAATTATGAAAGCTCATCATAATTATCAAAGACAAAATTAAGGAAACATTTGGGAATAGTGAAAAGATAAATACTTCACATTTTGGTGAGAGCCTCTTTTCCTAACTACTTTTGCCTTTTCATTAGGCTGACAATGTATATGTTGAATTTTAAAAAATGTATCTATCACCTTTTAGTATTTCCAGTGTTCATAGTTTGTAATTCTACTAGTGTGTTCTAAGCACATGATACCTCCATATTCAAGGCTGTTGTCCTTTTAAATTCAACCTCTGTGTTCTGAGCCATTATCAACACCAGCCCGCGACCACACAGCCCGTATCCCAAATACATCCTGTAAATAGAAAACCTAACAGTTCCCCATATTCACAAGCAACTGGAAGTTATGACATATTTGTAAAACAGTGCTGTCTAAACTTAGTGATAGAAGAAATTAAAAATAGACATGATTATGTAAAGTAAACCATAAAATCACTAGCTTAAAAAGGCAACCAACAGACTGGTAAAATTTATAGCAGAGAAGATGGGGAAAGGCGAAGATGTTTATTTTACAAACAGCTGTCAAAAAATAAATTTTG